TCTCATTCTCTCTCTCAAATAAATAAATAAAATATTTTTTAAAAAATATTTATTTTAGAGAGGAGAGAATCCTGAAGCGGACTCCCCACTGAGTGCAGACCCCCCCAAAATCATGACTTGAGCCGAAATCAACAGACGCTTAACTGACTAAGCCACCCAGGCACCCCAGTATATTATAATATTACTGACTATATTACCTGTTCTATACTTTTCATCCCCGTGACTTACTTATTTTATAAGTGGAAGTTTGTATTTCTTAATCCCTTTCACCCATTTCACCCATCCCTCCATACTCTTCCTTTTAGTAACCACCAGTTCTCCATATTGATGAGTCTGTGTTTCTCTCTTTATTGATATTATTTGTTTTGTTTTGTTTTTTAGATTCCAAATGTTAGTGAAATCATACGGTTTTTGTCTTTCTGTGTCTGACTTATTTCACTTAGCATAATATCCTCTAGGTCCATCCATGTTGTTGTAAGAGGCAAGATTTCATTCCTTTTTATGGCTGAGTAATATTCCATTGCTTATATATACCATATCTTATTTATCCATTCATCTAACAGTGGACATTTAAGTTACATCTATACCTTGGCTATTATAAGTAATGCTGCAGTAAATATAGGGATGCTCATATCTTTCTGTATTAGTGCTTTTGTTTTCTTTGGGTAAATACTCAGAAGGTGAATTACAGGATCCTATGGTACTTCTATTTTTCATTTTTCAAGGAACCTCTGTACTGTTTTCCACAGTGGCTGTACCAATTTATATCTCACCAGTAGTTCATGAGAGTTCTCTTTTCTCCATGTCCTCACCAATACTTGCTATTTCTTATCTTTCTGATACTAGCCATTCTGGCTGGTATAAGGTGATATCTCATTCTGGTTCTGATTTGCATTTCCCTCATGGTTTGTGATGTTGGGCATCTTTTTATGGGTCTGTTGTCCATCTGTATGTCTTTGGAAAAATGTCTATTCAGGTCCTCTGCCCATTTTTATTTTTT